CCGATCTCCCCAAAACCCCAAAACCCCTCTAGTCAATTGATTTGATTGGAAAATTAAATTATAAAACTAATCATTATTAAATATTGATTATAAATATAAACTAACAATTGCTTAAATACATGCTGGCTAATAACTAATTAAGTGAGGCTGATAGAGCAATAAGAGCAGCTGATGTTACTTCAGTCAACTAATAGAAAGATAAGATGGAGAGATAAGAATAAAATAAAGAAAAACTACTTTAATACATCAGAGATAATGTTATCGGAACACACAACGATTATATGATTAAGACTGTCTATGGAGAGAAGCCATTAGTTTATGCGGACTATACTGCTAGCGGAAAATCTCTAAAATTCATTGAAGATTACATCAAAGATTAGATTTTACCTATGTATGCAAACACTCATACACTTTAGTCTGGAACTGGCAAGCAGACTAATAATGCAAGAGAGGAAGCAAGAAGTATAATAAAGAGAGTCTGCGGTGGAAATGAAAATGATGCTCTCATTTTTATCGGATCTGGTGCAACTGTAAGTACAAGTGACATCATCTTATTTATTTATGGTATAGTCTGCAGTAAACCTACTAGTTTCAAAATTAAGAATAAGAGAGATATCAGAATCAGCTCGCATCTACAAAGAGTATATATCTGGAAAGAAGAATGGCGATTAAAGCAACGAAGAGCAGAAAAAGACTTTTGATGAGGGATAGGATAACATTAACTTCTGTCAGTAAAATAGATGGGGTTCCTATGACTGTATAATATGTAAGACTATCACTAAAAGTCTAGCCTAGTATGAATAGCATGCAAAAACAGATCTTCACTTAAGGAATTTTGAAATTTTCAAGTAGAAATAAAAAATATACACTGAGAGCCCAGTTGTCTTTATGTCTATTTATGAGCATAATTCAAATGTACTCGCTTGGAGAGAAGCTGGAGCTCACATTGAGCTAATATAAATGACCAATGATGGTGACTTTGATTATAACCACTTCGAGTAATTATTACAAAAATACAAAAGTTATAATTCACTTAAGGTTGCTACCATAAGCGCAGGATCTAATGTAACTGGAAACCTCGTTGATACAGATAGAGTATCAGTAATGAGTCATTAATATAGTACTCTAGCCTGCTTTGATTATGCAGCTGTTGTCTCCTATGTAGGAATTAATATGAATGGCCCCAATATAGATTCAGAAAATTATTTCACTCCTCTCGATAGATCATTGCATGGGTTAGCATACAAAGATGCAGTATTCTTTTCCCCTCATAAATTGGTTGGAGGACCTTAATCATCTGGAATATTAATTGCAAAGAAAAAAGTACTATTTTCGAAGAAACCTGCTAGATTTGGAGGAGGTATTGTATTCTTTGTAAATGAACTTGACCACGAATACGTCTCAAATGTTGAAGAATTAGAAGAAGCTGGAACTCCAGGAGTAGTTTAAGATATTAGAGCTGGATTAGCATTTTAACTTAGAGAGGCTGTTGGAATAAAATGTATAAAGGAGAAAGAAGAACAGATTCATTAATAAGCAATTGAAAGATTTAAATTAATGACTAACATTTTTTTGCTAGGAAATAATAGCAAGCCTAAGGTCAATATCTATAGTTTCTTAGTTAAGACTAAGTTTGGAAAATTCTTAAATCCTAATTTCGTAGTTTCTTTATTGAATGACCTATTCGGTATTCAATCTAGAGCTGGATGTCTGTGTGCAGCACTATATGGCTAAAAGATATTAGGTATAGATTTGAAATTATCAAGAGAATTTAAGGATGCCTTGTTTGATGGCAATGAAGTATTGAGAGTAGGATTTACCAGAATAAATTTGAACTATTTCATTGATTAAAAGGAGCTTCAATATATTTTAGATGCTATTGAATTCGTTTCCAATTATGGGTGGATGTTCCTACCTCATTACTAATTTGAGCCTGAGAACGGGTATTGGGTAAATAGGGATGAAAGAGAAATACAAGTGAGGTCATGGCTAGGTTAAATCGATTACTCCCATGGATTCATGCATTACTAACAAGTTGATTAAACTGATAAGAAAAATGTGTCATTTATTAGAAAAGATAATAAAGAAATAGATCTAAGCTAATTTTTATAAGATGCTTAAAATAAGCTAGTGCAGGTAGTGGAATATTATAAAAATCTTTATGGGAGATCAATGATAGATTAGAAGCTTTTGATTCCAGAGCCATATTAAAGGCTAATTTGGTTCCTATTCCCTAGTGAAGTTCTGACTGACATAATAAGCTTGAAATACCAGACTCCACTTTCTTTTAATGCTATTGAAAATTTTATACTGCAAAACTCAGCCTAGATGGAAGTATCTATTCCTTTTATTCCGAAGGATTACAACTAATCCTAGCACTAATTCCAGTTTTCTGAAGAATATCTTGAAAATCTCCCCACAAATCAAAATTCACCAAAGATTTAAAATACTGAGATTGATCAGGACCAAATTTAAAGAAATGATTGTTGCAGTTTAATTGCCGAAGATAACTAAGATTCCTGTTCTTAATAAATTTAGATAGACAATGAAAATTAAGAAGAGGAAGATAATTTCTTTTCAGGAATGGAATTCGAAACTGAAACAGAATCTACCTCAACATCTAAGAAAGTGCAGCTTATGGATATACCTAGAGAAATCAAATCTTATGTTGGATCAGCCATAAGGGACTTTGATATGATAAAGGATGGAGATAAAGTATTGGTAGCTCTCTCAGGTGGGAAAGACTCATTATCTATGATTCACATCTTGAAGTATTTTTAATCAGTTGCTCCAATCAAATTTGAGATCGGTGCTGTCACTGTTGATCCAATGGTCTATGAATATAACCCAAGACCTCTTATTCCTTACATGCATGAGATTGGAGTGAAATTCTTCCTGGAAAGTGATGCGATAGTTGAAAGAGCATAGACTTGTATGTAAAAGAATTCAATTTGTGCCTTTTGTTCTAGAATGAAGAGAGGAATGATATACAATTGTGCTAGAAGAGAGGGATATAATGTAATTGCCATGGGTTAGCATCTTGATGACTTGGCTGAATCCTTTGTCATGTCTTCATTCCATAACGGTTATCTTAGAACGATGAAAGCAAATTATACTATTGACAAAGGTGATCTCAAGGTAATAAGGCCATTGGTATACTGTAGAGAAGCATTGTTTAAAGAATTCTCATAAAAGAATAAATTGCCGATAATCACTGAGAATTGTCCAGCTTGCTTTTCAGCTCCTAAAGAGAGACATAGAGTTAAGTTAATGCTTGCTTAATAAGAAAATCTTTTCCCTAGTTTATTCTCTAGTATCCTTAAAGCTATTAAGCCTTTGATGAAGAGAAATATGAGAGATTTATTGAAAGGAGAAGAATAATATGGAGATGCTGGAAATGACAGTGATGAAGACGAAATTGTCCCAAAATCAGCAAATCAATTTGTCAAATTCAACATTAATACTTGATCCTAATCTTAATTTAATTATTTCCATATTCAATTTAGATAAAATAATCCTTCGAAGCGGGGTTTTGGGGTTTTGGGGTTTTGGGG